TATTCTCTAGCTGTTGCCGTCTATGTACAGTACATGTAATGTAAAAATTGGGCCATTGAAATTTCACCAGGACACTGTGCTGGATAGCCTTAAAACTTTGTGATCTCTAAAGCTTAATGAACCTTCCCAGGTGTGCTGTACCAAGGAAAATGTCCCACTCGACCAAATGCTTTCCCCTCAACTCCCAGAAGTGACTGCAATGTAACCTCTCTATACAAATTTAAAACTCAGTTTATTCAGCCAACAACTGAAGCAAGATGTTTTTTCCTTCTCATGACAAGAGTTAAACAACAAATATTCTGGGATCACTAGGTTCATACAAAGCAATTTATCAGTTTAAAGGTGGTAGCTATGATGTAATTATAACAAATTCTCTGAAATAGCTATGTTGAGAGATTTACATTTCAAATCAGATAATCAGTTCCTGGTACAGGTATTTCTAGAATTATAAAACTGTGTTTTCATGATGGGTACTTTACTTTCTATTTAATAATGGTATGGCTGTTGGCAATCAGGGTACTTTACTTTCTATTTAATAATGGTATGGCTGTTGGCAATCAGGGTACTTTACTTTCTATTTAATAATGGTATGGCTGTTGGCAATCAGGGTACTTTACTTTCTATTTAATAATGGTATGGCTGTTGGCAGTCAGGGTACTTTAATTTTTGTTTAATAATGGTATGGCTTTTAACAAGCAGGGTATTACAGAATTGACCGATTACTTGTCAGCCCAAGCAGATTCTTAGTGACCATACAAAATGGACAGTGCAGCTCTTTTACCCCTTAACTCCCATGAGTGACCAAGACAGAATTTCTCTTTACATACAATATCACACAGACAAGTCATGAGAAGAAAGAAAAATATCACTTAGGGGATTATTAGTTCATCCAATACTAAATTCACTGAAGTAAAAGCCGAAGAATTGAATGGCAGACAGTAATAAGAATAACAAATGAGATCTTGCAAGTGAAAGGGTTCAATTATGCAGACTTTTAAAAATGTGCCCCAGGTTTCTTCAGTTTGTTGATTTCTAGTGCCATACATAATGTACAATGTACAACTACAGTTAAACCTTTATTATACTCCCATGAGTGACCAAGGCAGAATTTCTCCTTACAATATCAGCAAAAAATCAAGCAGGCAAGTGAGGAGAATAAACAAGAATGTCAATGAGGGGATCATTGGCCAATCCAATACCAATTCAATTGCCTGAATTTAAATCGTACGCACTATATGGCAGACAGCACTTATGAGATATTGCAAGGGAAAGGGTTAGACTCTTCTAAGAGAATTCTTCAAAGAAAAATAAAATTACTATCAACACACATGTAATAGTGCATTTTACTTACTCTTAAGAAATGTGTCACCTCTAACGCTGTACTCCTTAATATGCCTCAGCTTTACTTCTAAAAGGCATGTGTAAATTCCCGCCTGTCGAACATTAAAACTTGTAAGGTGTATTGGGGCTATAAAGTCCTGTTTCACATCTGGATCTGGATTCCGCACACTCCTCAACAACTTCCCATCTTTAAACCAGGAAATTCTCTTCAGTGGGGTGCTGTTCTCATTTCCTCTGTCAGTTAGGTTGCAGAAGATTGTGATGTCGTCACCTGGATTAAGAGTACTGGAATCTGTGACTTTCACTGTTGGAATTTCAGCCCCTGAAATACAAGAATATGTATACCATTATCTGAGGGTGAAGATTGTTGGCCAAGTGCTCAAGCATCAGGTGGATAGATTTTTCTGTTAACAAATACATTTTGTTTCCTTGTTGGAATAGAGATGGTTTATAGAAATATTTTGCTCCATAACGATCTTTGTAAAAAAGTACTTTATCATTAAAGATGAGGGCATAACTTTTTGATGATCATTCAGCACCCACACTACATATAAACTGCACGATCGAAGAAGTGAAAAATAACAAGAACTTTGGCTTTAAACAATGGCAAGTAACCACACTTCAACAGCTCATCCTATTAAGAGCCCATGACTGTAAATATCGAGAATCGCTGGCCAAGCTGAAAAATGGAAAATTCTGATAATTTTCCTGGAAAACGTTTTTAGGGAGATATATTAGAAAAAAAATATTTCAAAGTCTGAAAAATCAAATGTTTCCGAGAAAATGGAGAAAACGAAAATTCGGGTTTTTACCTAATTAATTATGCAAAAAATACAGTAAAATTGAGCAATGCTAGTACTGAAGGAAGATGTTTCGTAAGAAATCGGGGATGTTTTTACTTGAGAATATAATTCATTTGATTTTTATTTATGGCACTTTTAGGATCTTTGGTTTAATTTTAGAATTTACAAGATTTTTTAACAAAGTACTCTCAAACACTTGTTGCAAAAAGCGAAAATTCAAGCAACTTCAAGCCTTCAAAACGCGTCTTGGTATGTGAGAAATCATGTGAAAATGCATGCTGGCACAAAGTTTGGTCCTTATTCTAAAATAATATGAAATAAAAAATCTGGGTAATTCAGAAAAGTGCCGGCAAAATACAAGAGTTTACGACGCAATGTGGCCAAGGTCATGAATTTGCATGATACAAATCAGTTCTAGAAATCGTACTTGAGAGCTACGAAGTAAACAAGATAGTCAAAGATGGTTAAAACAATTATTTGATGTGGAAATGATATGAAATTATACAATAAAAAATCCATAGACATTGCTGAAGAGGGCTGTAAATTGATGTGTAGATACGAAATTTTCTGTTAATTTGAATTGCAGAAGACTTTGTTATTGTTGACTCGCTATTTCAACAGCACTACCTACACCTAACTATAGATAAGGGCCGCTGTATATTTCACCATTTTTGTTGACTAGGTGTTTATTATCGACATTATTCTTAGTTGAATAGCTACGTTTTCTGCAACTGCGATAATATTTCTTTTGAAATATCTTGCATATCTTGAAAAATGTTGTGCGAGTAAACAAAGTCACGCAACACCGCAAGCTTCTGCTGTGTAGTTTTTCACCTAAGATAACAGCCCAACTATTTTTTATGCTATTTACTCTTATCTTTTTCGGAAAAAGGGCCACATTTCTGTCACAAAAATTGATAAAAAGGACTTATGTCACGGTAACAATTATACCGTGTTGCAGTCTGGGCGATAATTCTCTATGATGTAATCACGGTCTTTTTCTTAAAGGTAAACACGTGCGAGGTTTTTCACAGAGCATAAAAAGAAAACGATGTCATTCTGTAGCTTTGCTTCTCTTCTTGGCGGGGGGAAGGGGGGGGGGCTTGTGGTGCAAGTTCTGGGATTCGTGTAGTGACTAGTGTTAGACAGTCTCGGGGAACGCGAAACTGTTCCCCCACGCAAAAGAAGATTAATGACATCAGTTTACTGAACAACTTCAGATTTTATCCTGGTGGAATGAGGGTGTGGCAGACATTTGATAAAGGCCCCGGCAAATGCATCTCTTTGGAAGGAACAAATGGTAAACCTTACGTTATATTCTCTTTCCAGTTTTTAGCTATAATGTAGTTTGATCTCTCTTTAGTTTTGAGACTGAAAAATTCAGCGAGGGAAAGCTTGAAATCAAGATCGCTTGAAAACATCAAACCTGGCGCCAGTTTTTGTTATAAAAATTTATTTCTAGTTTTTTTTTATTTCGAACGCTATACTGGAAAAAGAAACTTTTACTTAATTTAGGTAGCAGTGCACAAGCTGCGCTTAACGCTATTTTCGCTGTGGGAAACGCACCAAATCTCGCTCTGGACAATTTTTAGATGTGTTTGATTTTGTCGTTAATCATCTTTCATGTTATTATTGTCCACAGAACGCCATTACCGAAATATTCCCTCGGCGAATTTAAAGAGATCGCCCCAAGGAGAAAACTTAAAGAGCCTACTAAGTGAAGCCTACTGGCCGTGAAGCGAAAGGCGATGTTCAAGTGTTTCCATGTCCAAAAGAGGGCGGCACGCGTAGTTTCCAAAGGCATTCTTCTCTGGAAAAGCATCTCGCGTTCGGAACGTGTACAAAGACGGTTGAAAGAGAGACATTTCTTGATAAAGCGAAGGTTAAATATGTCGTAAGGCTCGAGGAAGGTTCAAGTTCCGTGCCAACTATTCCTCTACCTCATGAAACCTGTCCTCGTAGCACTGAAGGCTTCGCTTTCAAACAAGTTAAGAACGCTTACCGGTTTAACGAAAGGCAACGAGAATATCTGACTGTTAGATTTACCATCAAACAAGAAAGTGGCAAAAAGGTCGACGCGGAAATGGTTGTAACAGAAATGAGAAGAGCAAAGGGATCGAAAGGGAAGCGCTTGTTCAGTGTCTCCGAGTTTTTGGCGACTCAACAAGTAGCTTCATTTTTTCCAGAATGGCACCAAAAGTGAAACACCAGACAGCCCTCTGCGCACAAGCTGTAACTGAGGAAGATCTGGTTGCTATGGAAGAAGAGTTAATTTAATTTGTCAAATGCTAAGGAGTCTATTTTTGAGCAGTTAACTTCAAATGTAACCTGGGGTTGATCAAAGAAAAAAAGACATCTTACATCGCTCTGCTCGAAGACCTTGTTAGATGCTGCTCATGCAGTACAGTTCAAAAGGCAAATGGCAAAAGGCTGCATAAAAAGAATTGAGTTTTATATGAACGTTGATATAAAATGGGGGCCATGGAGCATATTTTAGATCGGAGGAGCTATTTTAGTTCCCGCGTAGTGTGAGCTAATTGACACTAACTTATCATGAGGGTCCTGGGGCCTCCCCTCCGATGAGAACCTCCCTTTGTCTGTTTCTTAGTACGCCTTTCTTGGTTCAGAAAGACTGCTAGATAGGGTGTCCTGGGATATGTTCCACCCCGCCATTTTTTAAATCTACAGCTTCTGAAATCACCGGAAACGCGCTTCAGTCCTAGGAAAAATTTGTCAACTTTTTTTTAAATTACAAAGATTAAAATAAATAATAATGATAATAATAAATTGTTCTTGGTGGGGCTACAGCCCACTCAACCCCATAGCTCCGCGGTCCCCGTATTAAAGGCGCAAACCGGAAATGAAAAAGTCCCCTTCGAACCGCACTTGGCAGTCAGCCTGAAGTCAAACAGGATCAGGCCGGCGAGATGTTGTTCGATAAAGACTCATTAAAGAGTTTATACAAATAATTTAAAACGAGATATATAGGACTGGATGCTTTAGAATGGAGTTTTGACGAAAAAAGGATCGTGTCCGCTTTACTCGGCAACTTCACCTTTGATCCAACGAGACAATTGTCACGCAATTGAAACATTTTCCTTTTCCTCAAGACAGTATCGAGATAAAAAATAAAAACCTGATTGGCTTGAAAAAGAATTAAACGCTATTAAATACTGGTCATTACTCTTGTACATTTTATGTTGAAGCCTTCAAAAGAACCCTTCCTACACTAGAACCGTTAGGCGGTACGATTTCTACAACTGAATTGCATCATGCAAATTCGTGACCTCTGGCCACAGTGTGTCGCAAAGCTTTATGTTTTGCCGGCAAGTTTCTGAATTAACCAAATTTTTTATTACATATTATTTTAGTATAAGGACCAAACTTTGTGCCAGCATGTAGTTTGACATGATGTCACACATACCAAGACACGTTTTGAAGGTTTGAAGCTGGTCGATTTTTCGATTTTTGCAACAAGCATTCGACGGCACTTAGTTAAAAAATCATGTGAATTTTAAAATTAAACCAAAGCTCCTTAAAATTCCTCATATAAAAGTCACATTAATTATACTTTGAAGCAAAAACACCCCCAATCTCTTACGAAACATCCTCCTTTAGTAGTAGCACGCTAAAGTTGCTCAGTTTTACTGTAGTTTTTGCATAATTAATTAGGTAAAAACCCGAATTTTCGTTTTTCCCCATTTCCTCGGACACATTTTATTTTTCAAACTTTGAAATATTTTTTCTTAATATATCTCCCTAAAGGGGTTTTCCAGGCAAATTATCAGAGTTTTCGATTTTTTTAGCCTGGCCAGCAATTCTCGATATTTACAGTCACGGCCTCTTAATATTCTCAGTGGTTTAACTGAAGGAGATATAGCAGGAGCGTTTTTCCCCTCACTGAAGATGCCAGTCTTCAGAAAAGTTACCAACATCCCTTGCATTTCCTCTTGTTTTCTGAGAGTTTATTTTACTCAATTCTATACTCTATGGATAGACAGGACATACCTAAAAGACTTATTTATGCTGTGAGGGTACGAAGTAGTGAAATTTCATCTCGTGGTGAAGTATGGACTTACTTGTAATAACGCTGACACTAAAGCCATGCCTCTTTGGGGAGCTTACATTTTTCGCAAAAGCATGGCACTCGTAGCTTCCAAGATCACCGTACTGACTGTCATCCTGAATTGTTACATTCTTCAAAGTCATGGTAGTGTACAATTTAATGTTTCCCCCTACAAAGAAAGCAATTAACTTGTTAGCAGGAAGAGAAGAATATGGCCATTTGTACTGTTCAGATGATATAGGGGAAAGGGGGGACTATTCTGATCCCATTCCATGCACAAATTGAAGAAAAACTAAGACATCAAGTATCCAAGAAAGGAAAACTTCAAATCTCTCTTCCTATGTGCAAGGTTTCAGGGAAATCTTCAAGTTTTGACAAACTGAAAGAAATAAAATTCACGGGTCACATTTACAGAAGGGAAATCATGTCTCAGCCTCGTTCATAAATTCTCAAATCATGCTTGCCTTAATCTGTGAAATTCACACATCAAATGGCCACCCACTGCACATCTTACAGCCTGTAATCGCAGGTTTGACTTGATGCACCATTTATGACGATTTTAAGAGTTCTGGTTTGGGAGTAAAGTTTGAGATCCAGAGGTTTTTTTGTTTTGCTTCGTTTCTGGAGCCAGATACATTAACTATATAATACGAAGATATACTCACTTATATTATCTGTTCTGTGATTAAACACAAATCTATCCCCCTCTAACTTTCTGTATCGGTTAAGATCATCTCTCCTATGAAACTCTATTCTATCTGGTTGAAGTTTACCAGATGCATCAAATGCAATGCAAGTAACGCTTGCTGAAGTGTACTCTAGAGGGTAGATGCTCTCTGGGAAAGGTTCTATAACTCCAAATGGTCGTTCCCCTGTAAAAAAAAAAAAAGAAAAATGTCCACGTACATCTATTGAACTGCAGAAACTGCACATACAAGTATACTTGTATCTAATATCCTAGGCACCTCCTCCAGAAAATGCCATACACTGCAGAAATTTAATGAGATCTAGACTAGCATTACTGAAAACGCTGCAAGGATGGGAAAAAAGGCTAGAAATGAAAAACCGGTGTGCTTTTCTGCATGGGGCCAGACGTACTGATGTTAATTTGAAGCTGTAATGGATTTTTCCCATACTGTACCTTACGAAGCTGTAACGTACAATGTAACTATACCTAAGCTAACTCATAGTGATATATAAAAAATTGTAAGCCAAAGGGCATAAGTAGATCTGTCTAAATAATTCACATATTGTTCAAGTTCTGTTGTCAGGTATTAATTGTTATTTAGTAACTTCCCAAACACAGATCCAAATAGAGTAACATCTCAGGTTGTATCATTTTTAATGACAATCTTTTTTCAAAATCGTCCCTGCCACACACTGCAACCATGTATTTTAATCCACCACGACATGAAACGTTTGAGCAAGACTATAGCAACGCTTTGACAAAAAATATTGCGATCTCAGAATTACAGCTAAACAAAAAAATGTGATTCTAAAATTAGTATATCTTAAAGTTTATGCAACGTCGTAAAAATTCTTAGCGCACAAAAACAATCTTAACTTTCACAAATTCCACTTCAAACATCTTTCATTTCCAAATTCATGTACACGATCTAAAGGTCAAGGAGCCAAATTTCGTAGAACAACACAACGTTAATGCAATCGGTTAATGTTATCAGCCTCAGCCTTCGGCTTCGGCTGATAGCACTTACCTCGACCTTGATTTTTCTGGATATCACAAAAACTTCATCCAATAATTGTTTATAATTAATTAGCATGATGAAACTCACTTGAATAATGATTTTCACGAACTGCAATTAAATTTTTTTAGTTGATTATCACTTATGACCATGAACACTTCATTATGCAGTTTTTCTTCGTGATACTGATCGGAACCTCTCCACTGAAGTACATTTTGGTCAATATCAGTATTTTAGAGTAAACTGATAGGCCGGGAAAACACAAAAGTAGTGTCTTAAGTCCTGTTTCCTTATTTGGTTATAAATAAACCTGTTGTGACAGAGCTTGTAGCATGTGTCATAGCATGGTGTCAGGACAAAAATCTGTTTTTTGAGGATTTTGCACCCGTTTTCGAAAATTAATCGCCGAAGGTGCCTCGCTGAGGCTGTTTCCTTATATTGTTAGTAATTTCAAAGAGTCTTGGGCTCTAAGTGCGAGAAAAACTGAAAATGCAGTCAGACAACGACCATGTGGAGTCGGGTGCGCAAATCTCCGTGCCATTATCGGCAGCACCCAATTCAGTTCAACCTATCGTCTCAATTTATCCTCAAGTTATTTCGCCTAATTTCCGCTACCAAGTCCTAAGAAGTGTCATGGTGACGTTACTGGCAACTGCAATGGTGCGACTTTCAGACAGAAACAGGTTTAGATAAACGAGAAGAATCGGTCCGTTTAGCGACTTTGCGTTCATCGGCGGGCAGAGAATGTCTTCAGATACTACTCAACCTACACCTTTCAAAGGAAGATAAGAGGAAAATCGACAAATGTCTAGAAGCCTTGGAAAGCTAATTCAAGCCCAGCAGAAATTTATGGTACGAATGCTATGTTTTCAATACGTGTGTGCAGCAAAACGAAGAATCTATCCAAAGTTACGTCACAGGTCTGAGAAAATTAGCCGCGAACTGCGAATACGGTGCTCTTGCAGACAAACTTATCAGGGACAAGCTCGTCATTAGCCTAAAGAATCAAGGTGACAAGGTGAGACTCTTGAGAAAAAAATCCTTGGACTTAAAGAAAACCACAGAGAGGCACAATTCGAGTGAAATCGCTTCGCATCATATCAAAACGATAGCAGGCGCTGGAGACAACGAGAGAGAAGACGTAAGAAAATTCGGCGACAAAAAAATTCGCTATGGAAGTCGTAGTAAGAATGGGGGAAGATCGTCGAATTTAGAGAAGATATCAGAAAAATAAAAGAAATCCGAAGGTTCTTTCGAACCGACCTGTAAGTATTGCGGTCGTAAAGACCATCATGAAAGAAGAACAGAGTGTCGCGCGTTCAAAAAAACGTGCTGCAGGTGTCAAACAATTGGCCATTTTGCGTATGTATGCCGATCATCAAAAAAAGGTTCAACAATTCGAAGAAGACGAGGATGACAGTCTTGACGAAAGCTGTTTGCAAGTGCAAACTGTCTCTATTCCAAACTAAAGTAAAACAGTGGCTTGCAGATATCCGTTTCTGCAAATCAGCTAAAGAAGACTTCACTACAACCTTGGGATGTCAATTAGACACTGGAGTTACATGTAATGTAACTGGCTTGGACGACCTCCCAGCTATCACACAGTTAGGAGACCCACCCATGAATAGCTCCCCAGTTAAGCTGAAGCTCTTTGGCGGTAAAACTTTAAAGCCAGTGGGAAAGTGCGACTTAAATGTCGGACACATTGGCAAACAATAGATTCTGAAGTTTCAGGCCATAAAACACAAGCGTAAGCCCTTGCTATCAACTGGAACCTGTGAAAATTTGCAACTCATCCTCCTAAATCTCAGCGTCCCCGAGAATGTACGTCAGATAAGTGAGACCCTACCACAAAATTGTCTGTCAAAGGAAGAACTGTTGAGTAAATATCACGAAGTTCTCACCGGATTAGGACATATTGGAGATGTGAAGATTGTGGATGACCCGAGTTTTAAACCAGTACAACATTCCCCTCGTCGCGTGCCAGTTGCACTACAAAAAGAAGTTAAGAGTAAGATTCTAGAGTTAGAAGAGAGAGGCATTATTAAGAAAGCGGTGGAACCCTCAGAGTGGATCAGCAGTATGGTACTAGTTGCCAAACCTCAGAAGATTGGAATCTGTCTGGGCCCAAAAGACCTGAACTGTGCGATACAACGCTCCAAATTTCTAATGCCGACGTTGAAATAACTGTTACCAGAGCTCAACAAAGCCAGAATTTCCAGTTCCTCCAATGCAAGAGATGGATTCTATCAAGTTGGCCTTTACCAAGAGAGTAGTAAACTTTCTGGACACCCCTAGGAAGACACCGTTACTGACGAATGCCCTTTGGTATAAGTTTAGCCCTAGAAGTCTTTAAAAGCAGACTACAAGATTGTCTCGCCGACCCGCTTGGTGTGAAAGTCATCACTGATGATATTCTTGGTTTGTTATGCCGAAAACGACTCGGAAGCCCTTCTTAATCATGATCAGAATGTGGTCTGCCTACTTGAACGAGCCCAACAAGTCCATCTGAAACTCAACAAGAACAAAGTTAAGCTTTGACAGGCACAAGTTAAATTCATTGGTTATGTGATTTCAAGGGATGGAATGAAACCGGATCCGGATAAAGTTACTGCCATCAAGAACATGCTGAGGCCAACATCTAAGCCTGAAGTTCTTACCTGCTTGGTTTTGTCAACTATCTACCTAAATTTCTACTTAAGCTTTCAGATGTGTCAGCACCTTTAAGAGAGCTTACAACTGACCGATCCATATTCACCTGGGCCAAACAGCATGATGAAGCTTTTGTCACTATTCAGCTCTTGGTTATTCAACACCTGGTCATTAAATTCTACAGCATAGAAGAAGACGTAACTATTCAGACGGATGCCAGTAATAAAGGCCTTGGCGCAGTCCTTCTTCAAAATGGACAGCCAGTCGCCATCGCGTCCAGAACTCTCTCACCAATAGAACAAAGATATGCAACGATAGAGAAAGAATGTCTGGGAATAGTCTTCGCTTGTGAAGGATTCAATCAATATCTAGCACGAAGAGAGCAGATCTCAGTCGAAACTGACCACACGCCTCTTTAGTCGATATTTAAGAAGTCTCTACTATCAGCTCCATGCCGTCTTCAGAGAATGCTTCTTAGGCTGCAACTATTCAACCTGACAGTTAAGCACAAACCTGGTTCGCAAATGCTATAGCCGACCATTTGTTCAGAGCCACACAGCACGAAACCTCTGGGCCAGAAGAATCTTTTCAAGTATTTTCCTTAGAGCTGGAGAGCCTAGACCCTATGCAAGCCCTGAAGGTCACGCCAGAAAGACTCGATCAGTTGCAGCGTAGCACAAGTCACGATGACACCCTGCAGACACTAAACACCACAATTCTGACCGGATGGCCAATAGAAAGATCAAGTACCAATTAAGATCCGGGAGTATTGGTCTTACCGCGACGAGTTATCAGTACACAATCGTGTTTTTTTCAAAGGCTCGATGGTAGTCATCCCCAGCTAAGTTACTGAGACCTGAAGTCAAATCCAGAATTCATTCCAGGCATTTAGGAGTAGAAGCTTGCCTGCGTAAAGCTAGAGACACTGTACTCTAGCCTGGTATGAATGCAAAAGGGAGTAACCAAATCAAACAATGTTCAATTTGCAACGAATTTTATGCTAAAAATCAGAAGCTTCTAATGCAAAGCCATGAACTTCCTAACCGCCCGTGGAATTGAGTAGCTGCTGACCAGTTCAGATTTCATGACAACGAATACATCGTGCTTGTTGACTACTACTCAGATTTCAAGGAAGTACCAAAATTGGAGGAAAACACTTCCAGTTCCGTGATTGAATTATTTTGAGGAACAGTTCAGCCGACACAGCATTCCAGACACACTAACTACTGACAACGCTCCTCAGTTTACAAGCCATGAGTTCCATCAGTTT